GACTAGAACTCCCTGTCTCCTGGTGATTGTCTTAAAGTCACCCATTCAGCTTGCATGCCTGAGGCAGGACTAGAACTCCCTGTCTCCTGGTGATTGTCTTAAAGTCACCCATTCAGCTTGCATGCCTGAGGCAGGACTAGAACTCCCCGTCTCCTGGTGATTGGCTTAAAGTCACCCATTCAGCTTGCATGCCTGAGGCAGGACTAGAACTCCCTGTCTCCTGGTGATTGTCTTAAAGTCACCCATTCAGCTTGCATGCCTGAGGCAGGACTAGAACTCCCCGTCTCCTGGTGATTGGCTTAAAGTCACCCATTCAGCTTTCATGCCTGAGGCGGGACTAGAACTCCCTGTCTCCTGGTGAATGTCTTAAAGTCACCCATTCAGCTCTTATGCCTGAGGCGGGACTAGAACTCCCCGTATCCTGGTGATTGGCCCAAAGTCACCCAGTCAACCTCCATGGCTAAGGTGCAACTAGAACTCACTGTCTCCTGGCGGGTGGCCCAAAGACGCCCAACTAGGCTTCAACTTTACAAGGGTGACCGGAACTTACCGTCGCCTGATTTCTAGTCTAGCCCCCTAACCCCTACTCCAAACTGGGTCTCTTCGTTACAAACGGGGGGAAAATAAATAAGATAAGATTATTGAAAATTACAGCCCGTTGTACAATGGAGTCTGCGGGTATCTCTCTCTCTCTCTCTCTCTCTAAGCCTACAACTGTTCATCTGGAGTTTTGCTCCTTTGAGATATTCTCTGCTTCTCGAAAAATTGAAGAATCGCAGGCAGAGAGGAGTTATCTCCGAGGAGTTGAGTGTGGGTTGGTTTTTCTTGTTTCGCCTTTGCAGATATTTGTAAATTTGGAAAGAAAGGAGGAAATGATGTCATGGAGCAGAGCTGGGGGAGGGAGGGAGAAATGAAGGATAGAGGGAAAGAAAGGGGAACTGTGACGAATGTAAAAATATCTTTATTCGGTGTTTGGAAGGCTTCCTCATCTCCTCCTGTCTTGTATCTTTTATGCCTCCAAGTGGAAAACTCAGACGGTCTTTTCAAGTTCACGTCTCAAGGCGGCTTGAATCTTTCCGCGCTCAAAGCTTAACAACTCCTCGACTTATGACCACAATGGACCCCAACGCTTCTGTTGCTAAGTGAGACGGCCCACCCCATTTTTACGGCCTTTCTTGCCATCGCTGTTCAGTGAATCACGGCGGTTGTTCAGTTAATGACACGGTCGTGAAGTGAGTCGGGCTCCCCCACTGATTTTGCTGGTTGGAAGGTTGCAAAAGGGGCGGGGGGGGGCACGTGACGCCAGGACACGGCGACCGTCATAAATGCGAACCAGTTGCCAAGCATCTGAATTTCGATCACGTGACCATGGGGAGACTGCAATGGTTGTTAAGTGAGACAAATGTTTGTACGTCACTTTTTTTCAGTGCCGCTGTAACTGGGAACGGTCACTAAATGAACTGTCGTAAGTCGAGGACTACTTAGCAATAGCAATAGCAGTTAGACTTATATACCNTCTCTCTCTCCCTCTACCCATCCATCTCTCCCCCATTTCTCTCCCTCTATCCTCCTCTCTCTTTCTCACCCTCCTTCTACCCATCCCTCTCTCTCTCCCTCTTGCCCTCTCCCTCCCTCTTGCCCTCTCTCTCCCTCTCCCCCCTCTCTCCCCCTCTCTGTTTCTCTCTCCCTCTACCCATCCCTCTCTCTTTCTCTCTCCCTCTCCACCTCTCTCTTTCTCGCTACCCATCCCTCTCTCCCCCATTTCTCTCCCTCTACCCATCCCCCTCTCCCGTTTCTCTCCCTCTACCGTCCTCTTCCCTCTCCCTCTACCCATCCCTCTCTCTCTCCCTCTTGCCCTCTCTCTCCCTCTTCCCCACTCTTTCCTTCTCCCTCTCCCCTCGCGCTCTCTTTCTGTCTCTCCCCTCCCCTCTCTGTCGTTTTGGAAATGGAAAAGTGTGACATGTTTACATCTCCCAGCTCTGAGGCCCAGTAGAGGAATACTGGAAAAAGTCATTTATGACCATTTTTCACACTTACGACCATCACACCATCCCCGGGGGTCACGTGATCAAAACTAAAAACTCTTGGCAACTGGCATGTCCTTATGCCGGTTGCAGTGTCCTGGGGTCACGTGATCCCCTTTTACGGCCTGATTGGCAAAAATCAACGAGAAAGCCCAATTCACTTAACAATGATGTAACTTAACCGCTGTTCTTATTCACTTAACAACTGTGGCAGGAAAGGTCGCAAAACTGGGGCAAAATCCACTTGACAGCTGCCTCATTTAGCAACGGAAATTTGGGACTCCGTTGTAGTCGCAAATTGAGGACTACCTGGAATGAGGCTGTGGCCTAGCATTTCTACGGGCACTAAATTGGGGGAAATTGCTTGAGAGCAGTTGATATAAACCTGCTTGCAATTGATTTATTACATTTATTTATAAAAAGGATGTCTACAGACAGCCTTTGAACTTACTGCAGTTCGTTTAGCGACCGTTTGAAGTTATAACCACCTTGAAAAATGTGACATGCAACCGTCGTTTACATCCTTGCCCGCATTCCCACAGTGAACGTGCTCAAAATTCAGAGGCTTGGCCATTGGCTCACATTTACGACGGCTGCGCTGATCCCCTTTTTGCGACCTTCTGACAAGATTCACTTAACAACCCTGTCCCTCGTTTAACAACCTGGATCGATTTACAAAAAGTGGCAAGGAAAATCTTTAAAAAGAGCTCACGTCACACCTTTCTCACTTTGCAACATAAATTCTGGGCTCGGTTGCGGTCATAAGTCGAGACTACCTCTACTTGGGGGTTATCCTCTTGTCTGGAACAGGAAATATTCTTACTTCTTTCTCTTTTTAACCTGATTTTTCCCCCCATTTCTTCCTCAGGTTATTGAAGATCTTTTCAAAACTGTGACAGACCAAATTCTCTCCAACTGCCCTCAAGATGCGGCCCTTTTTCATAAACGCATCGCTCCTGGCCATGAGGTAAATATTTTCTAATATATCTATCTAGGCAATATACTTTTATTTTTTTTAAAGAGTTTTATTATTTTTTAATGACAAAAATAAACATTATTCCATCTTTCCTTACGCAGTTTGTCAAACATCTCTGGGCAACATAGTTCCTCTTTTTGCCACAACTTTCATGTTCTAATTAACATTATTTCCCTAAGTTTGGTATTATAATATCTTAAGGATCTAAACTTTATAAAACTCTCCATTTTTCTTCTTACTATCTTCTAGTAATAATATATCAACATTAAAGATCATTATCCTTATCATACACATGCTAACCATTTTACATCTTTATCTAAGTCTACCGTATTTTCACGACTATAAGCCGCACTGAAAATCCTAAAATTTGATCCAAAATCGGCAGTGCGGCTTATAG